TGGATTCTCGTCCTGAAATTTTCTAGAGGAAATTTCATGGCTCAGAGAGAACACAGTCCCATCTCCTGCCTGGGATAGACAAAGGGGCAGTGTAAATTCCTCATGAGTGATCTGAAAGAAAGTTTTCTGGTCTCCCATCACCACTAAGACCAGTAAGCAGTGGATGGACACCCACAATGTGTTTCCAGAATGGGCTTCACGAGGCAGTACAGAGCAACCAATTTTCCCCAGCATGCAGCATTCTGAGCCATCTGGAAGCTGAAATCAGTGTTTGATGATGAAAATGTCACATCTATAGAGGTGTCAAATTCTGCTGTCCCCAGGCAGGCATGGCTGACCACATGTGGGTAAATTGATGAGATCCTTTCAGAGCCACCTCAGAAGAGGTACCCGGCCTCTTCTCAACAACTTTGCCCTCAAAGTCCTCAAACACTGGCTGTGCTTGACTTTGGTGTGCCAATGATACATCCTTCTGAGGGTGTGCTTCTGCCTGTGCCCAGCTCTGTCACACCACCAGTTGTGTGAATGATTCTGAGGAAGTCGTGGTTTAGCACTTAATCAATTCCATTAAAAGGAGCTGAGGAGTTGGGTAGCAGAGGAACACAGAATAACTGTGGTGTCAAAACACAAAACAATTGGCATGAAATTATGCTGATTATTCATGTATTAATTGGGAAAAAAGCTCTGGAGGAGGCTCTGATTGCTAATTCCCCTCCTGAGACAGGCACAGGAAGGTGTCTTGGAGCAAAATCCACACCCTGGGAAGCCCTCCCTCAGCCTAAGAGGAGGAACATTAATAGTACAAACCCACAGAACTTGTCCTGGGGTTAGTGTGACTGTTTAGACAGGGTGAGGTGGCAGTGTCTTATCACATGCTTTTTTCCCCACTTCCCTTCCCAGGGATAAATCTGTGGAAACAAGAGGAAACAAGAAGCTGTCTTGTTGACACCTGGGCATCAGCCCAGACACTGTCACCATCTGTTCAGCCCTGGAATGGGGTTGGGAATCTTCGCAGATGGAGGATGAGAACTGATGGTTAGACATAAACCAGGAGCTGTCACCTCTGCAGGTGAAAAGATCGTCCTCATGCTAGACTGAAGCATCAGCCCTTGCCAGGCAGCCCTCGCTGCAGGGAGCCTTGTTTGTTCATAAGATCTCTGCCAGCTGTGAGGTGCTGGAAGGGGAGCAAGGTGGAGAAGACACGGTTGTTGCTGGGAGACAGGGAAAATGACAACGGTAAAAGTCACTTCCCTGCTTTGCTGGTTTTGTTGTGGTTTTTCCCCCCCTCACAGACGTGCAACTCTGTACCTGTGAAGAGCAGACTCTGAAAGCCAAAACACAGGAGAGAGGGTGGTGTGAAAATGCTGACCTTAAAGATGCAGGGAGTGTGTTTGTTTCGGTGACTTCATTTATTTTGCTGCTTTACTCCAAGGGCGTGCTGCTGTGCAGTTTAAACCTGGGCCAGAAATTCAGCTCAGCTTTAAGTCCTTGGTGTAGATTGACCTTTAGTTCTCATTCCTTTTTCTTCTTCTTTACAGCTGCTTTTTGCCAGTCCAAACAGCCTGGTGCTGAGACCTGCTTCACCCCAGAGGTGATTTAGGCCCTTGGGGTTTCTCACTGTAAGGAAGTTGGTCACCCCTTGAACAGTGTTATTTGTGTACAACACTCAGCAATTTGGTGTGGGTCAGGGATTAAACTGCTGGGCAGGGGGAAATGGTTCCTTCCTGCCACCACTGAGGGGAGAGGAGAACTTCAGTCATGGCAGCAACAACTGAGATTTTACCAGAGAAAGGGCAGTTGTGGAGGCCTTAATCTGCCTCGCTCAGACATCAGGGCAACCTTCCTTTCAACCAGCAGCATGTAAAGCAGCAAGAGCAATGCCCCTCTGCCTACCAAAACAGATTATTTGCCTCAGTAATGAAGGAAGAAAATATGAGCAAAACCAAACTGCTCCAGACCTGCTGTTTAGCCTGTGCACATGAGCTGCTAAACAGAGTGAGCAGCCCGGTCACAGCTGTGTGGGAGTGGGCTCAAGTGATAGACCAAGACATGTGAGCTCCAGAAAATGGATGGAGTGCTCTCCCTGCTCCTCAGGGAGTGTGAGGAGTGAGGACTCTTGGCTGAATTGTGCCTGTGGCTTGGACTGACTTCAGTTTTCCATGGGAAACCCTGCCTTCCTTGCCAGTCTGGCTGCTTGCCTGGGTCTGTGCCTGGGTGATGGATGGTGGCTTGGATGTCACCCAGGCAACAAAACCTTGGTGCTGTGCTCCTGGGCACGTGGCATTGCCTGTTGTTGTGAGTGGAGACTCAGATTTCCTGCTCTTCCCCACGGCTCTTGAAAGACATGGGCAGCTCTGACCTCTCTGGAGGAGTATGGAAGGTATGGAGGGATGAAATGGAAAGGCTTTGAGAGCCAGTGCCCAAACACTGACTGGGAAGCGTGGTGTTAGCAGCAGGGCTGTTGTGGGGGTTGCAGGAATGATATAGGGATATATGAATAGGGATGGCTGATTGCTCAAACCAGGTCTGGCTGCCTTGAGAGGAGTCCTGTGCAGCTGCTGAGCTTGGGTTGGGGTGTCCAGTTATCCCAGTTCAGCCTGCCCAGCCTGGAGGGCCTGAAAACCCCTTGGGACTCTCTCTGGGACATGAGATTTGTCAGTGCCCGTATCAAACCAAGGCTCGGGGAACTGCCTGCTGGCAGTGCTGTGACAGGACAAATGGGGACAAAGAGCTCAGGCCCAGCCTCCTCTGGGTCCTGTATCTTGGTGCTGGCTCCATCCTGGATCAGGGAACCAACAAGGGCTTTGAAAAGCCCACACCCTGTCTTTCTGTGTTTCTCTGGGGTTTAAAAGGTAACAGGTGGGGATTGCATGCTTTCTCAGGGTGCTCTCTGGTTTCTGCTAAGGGGCTGATCTGTCCCCACAGGCTGTCCTGCTGGGTGCTCACTGTGGCTCTGCCTGTCCTTCTGTCTGTCCCAGTGGCACGTGCACAGACTGAGGCTTCTGGCAGCCCCCACCCTTTGAGCCCTGTGGGTTGAAATTAGCTGACCGATTAAGGAGTCACCAGGGTGGGCTGACACACTGATGGGTACACGTGGTGTTCTGTTGCCTTTCTTCAGAAAACCAGGTTAATAACAGTAATAAAGCCTTCAGCTTTGTTGCTCTGGTGAGGTTTCAGCGTGCTGTCATGCTCTGATGGTAAAACACTTCAATCCAAGTGAGCAGAAGGTGATGGCCCTGTGGAGAGACATATGTTCCTGCACTATTATTTTTATTGCTCTTAATAGCAGTGTTTTTAAAAGCCCTCCATTTCCTGATCACACCTTTAAGTGCCAAAAGCCGGTCTCCATGGAGGTGGAAGGCAGGAGGAGAGACCTGGAGGAGGCAGGCACAGCCTCTCAGGCAGTGGCTGTTTAAGCTCCGTGACTGTGGGCAGAGCAGGATGTGCTGTGGAGATCTCAGTGTTCCCAAGAAGCCACTTGCTTTGTGCTTCACCCTCCTTGGCTGCTCTGAGCAGGGTGTGCTGTGGGAGCCCTGCCATGCCTGACACCCCATCTGTGTCCAAGCTGCCTGGAAGAGCACTGGGCTCTCAGCAGGTCAGCCATGGCCCATCTGGACTGATTCGCAGGCAGAAGCAGCACCTGGGCTGGTTTCTTTGCTGTCCTCCCCAGAGCCACCACTGGCACCTGTCTCTTGAAGCACCAAGCTCTTGGGAGCCAGCTTTAGCTCAGCTGGCATCACAGATTAGGAGGAGGAGAGGGCGCATCCGAGCCCTGCTACCCACAGCTCCCAATCAAAGCAGGAATGGAGTGTGCAGCCCCCACAGCAGTCTGATGGAGTTGGATGCCTCTAAAACTGTATCTTTTGCTGAGAGTTGACAAATTTCCCCCTGTCAGGGGTGACCAAATGATTTTAACTGAACCAGGGGCTGGGGTCCCTTGCTGTAGTGTCACTCCAGCACTCACTGATACACAGGATGGGCTGTCACCTTGGTAGGGTGGAAATCTGCTCTGTGCTCAGAAATCCTCAGAAGCTGCTACATCAGAGATATTTGGAGAGATCAGAAGGAATCTGTAATGCCAGTTCTGAGACTTTTGGCATGCCAACGTCCACTTCTAAGAATTAGAAAAAAATGTCCCCCTGAGATGGCAGTGAGAAGTGCACCTGGCCCTGGGCTGGTGATGAATTGCAAATCACTGGTGTTTTGTAACAGGGCAGCTTCTTGCTCTTCTCTCCACCCTCAGGAGGAGATATCTCTCCTGCAGATCAAAATAAAATAGACTGAAGTAACAGTCCCTGTCCACCCAGGGAAGCCTGCAAATTGCTCTGCCATTTCCCTGGGAGAACAGAGGGATACACGTGTATTTGCTCCCCATTTCCAAGGAAAATGTGATGCAGTGAGGTTTGGAGGCAGGGAGATGGAGTTCAGAAGACACCTGCCTGTGTGGGTGGAAGCACTGACAACCAGGAAACCTCCAGTCTAATAGAAAATGCTACCTGATGGATGCATTAATGACAAGGAAATCTGGGGTATCAGTGCCTGACAATCAAATGTGTGAGTGTGTATGGATGGAGGCTGCTGAGCAGAGTCTTGATCCAGCAGCTCCTGTGTGCAGGTGAAAGCAGGATCTGCAAGGGAGTTTAAAGCTAAGCCATGCCTAAGGTTTAAAGCTAAGCCATGCCTAAGTGATGGTTTGAGCTGAACTGACTGTCCTAAATGGGGGAAATGGTCCAATAAATTCAGGATACTTCCTTTTAGAATCATTTGTAGAGGGACCCCTGCCCACCCTTATTTGCAGCACAGCCCCAGGGCAATGCTGAGCCTGGGCCAAGCTACCTGAGCCCAAAATGCACTGAGCCCAAAATGCAGCATGATCTATGTGACCTTTCCAGCCTTCATGGCCCACAGCCAGGGCATTTCACTCTCTTTTTTCCTGCTTGCCAATGCAAAATGTTCGTCTTTTGCTCTGCAAAATGCTCAGAGCACCAGCAGGAAGAAAGAAACCAGTTTTGTCTGAATGGAGCAAGGAGGGAAGGGAGAAATGAAAGGACATGTCCCTGGCAGTCTGTGAGCTGGGTTGGTTTCAGTGATCAAAGGTGACATTAGAGCAGTGCTGGGAGAGGAGCTGCTTTAAATAAGTGGGTTTCATCTTAATTGCATCTTTCTAAGGCCAGTGTAGCTGTTGTGCAATGAAACCTTTCTGAGCCAGAGCCTGATTGAGAGGATGGAACAAAGGAAGAAAGAGAGGGGGAAGAGCAAGGCTGTGTCCCCATCGTTTGGTGAGGAGGGCTGGAGAAGGCTGAGGTTTGCCAGAGCACAGTGGTGTGTGTTTCTGTGGCACTCTGCCGTGCTGGGGTCTTGGTTTTGAGATCTCCCTGGGGACAGCTGTCAGGATGACAGACCCAAAAAGAAGAGCAGTAGCTTCTTCAGGAAGTCTCCAGAGACTGCAGGTAGCCCAGGGGGATTTCGGTCCCATGTCACAGCTGTGAAGGAGGTGGGATGATATCAACAGTGACTCTTCTGCCTGCCCAGAGCCTGGCTCTTGGAGCTGCCACATCCATAGGAACATGGGAAGGAGTTTGAACCAACCTCTGCTGGTACCTCCAGGACTGAGGGTCCCTGCTACCTCCACCTGAGTGGTCAGGTCTCTCAGCATCCAAAATTCCCTGTGTGAGAGCCAGAGGCACAGCTCTGTGGTTGTGCCTCTCTGATCAATCCAGAGCCTGAAGGAGGCTCACAGCTGCTGGGATGAGATTTGCTTGCCAGATTCCAGCTGTGTCCTGGAGAGCCCTTCCCCATCTGGGAGCAAAACCAAGTGGGGACAACAACAAAGCTGAGCATCTTTGACACCCCTGAATGACAGAGCTGGCCATACACCATGGGGCTGGTGTTTTATCAGCTGAAGCCAAGCAACACTAATGAGCAGCTGATTAGTATAATCACAGCTTCACCTGTTCATCAGGAATGGAGAACTTCCTAATCAGCTACAGGAGAGGCCCTGAGAGGGGTCCAAGGTCAAAGAATTTGAAAAATAACTCAGCAGGCAGAAAGGGGACACTGGTCTTTGCAGGAGCTGGACACAGCTCCATTTCTTTTTTTTTGCTGTTGTTTATTTAGGTACCCTTTAGGTTTGGTAGATTTGAGAGCATTTGGTCAGAGAGTGCCTCTGCTTCTCTGTAACACCTTGGTCTGAGGTCACATCCAGAGGGTGCTGGTCAATGGCTCAGAGTCATGATGGACATCAGTGACAAGTGATGTCCCTCAGGGGATGGTGTAATTTAACATCTTCTGTAAGGACACAGATGAAGGGACTGAGTGCACCCTCAGCAAGTTTGCAGGTGACACACCTGAAGGATGGGATGCACAGGCACCATGGGAATCTCATGAGGTTTAACAAGACCAAGTGTAGAGTGCTGCATGTGGGTTGGGGCAATCCCTGGTATAAATCCAGGCTGGGGGATGAGGGGATTGAGAGCAGCCCTGCTGAGAAGGGCTTGAGGGTGTTGATGAATCAGAACCTCTCCTATGAGGAAAGGCTGAGAGAATTGGGATTGTTCAGCCTGGAGAAGAGAAGGCTTCAGGGTGACCTAATTGCAGCCTTCCAGTACCTGAAGGGATCCTACAAGGAAGCTGGACAGGGACTATTTACAAGGAGTGACAGGACAAGGGGGAATGGCTTCAGACTTCAGAGAGCAGGTTTAGATTAGATATTAAGAAGTTTTTTACTGTGAGGGTGGTGAGGTACTGGAACAGGTTTCCCAGAGAAGTTGGGGATTCCCCATCCCTGGAAGTGTTCAAAGCTGTACTGGATGGGGCTCTGAGCAACCTGCTCAAGTGGCAAGTGTTTCTGTCCATGGCATGGGAGTTTGAACTGGATGATTCTTAAAGTCCCTTCCAACCCAAAACATTCAATGATTCTATGATTTTTGCTCAAGATGTGTCTGTACTCAGAAATGGGTAATGCTTTGCTTTATGCTATGCCTAATGCTAATGCTGCAGGAATGCAACTGTCCCAGGGAGCAGCACCACATTTCACATCACTGAGAAGTGCTCAAGAATTGCCTTTGGGTTCAAGCCACAGCACAGACTGTGCAGTCTCTCTGTGCCTCAGTTTCCCCACTGGATTTGATTGTTCCTAGAAGTTGCTCAGTAAGTGTCCCTTCAGCTGAAACCACCAGAGCTTCCACTCCTTGTAGCTGGTGCCCTGGGGGGAAACACTAAACTGTGAGGCCCCTAAGCTCTGCTCTGGGTCTTTTGTGCCAAAGCTCAGCTGGAAGGGAAGGGCTGAGCCTTCTTCCCTAAGAGAAGCTTCCGATGCCTTCATCCTCACACACAACCATCTGCTTTGCCTTCTGTTTTTACCTGCCTTTGGCTTTCAAGCCCACTTCTCCTGTGCTCTCCTGCTCCTGAGCCCTGCACTGTGCCTGCTGCCAGCCTGGCTGTGCCACCACAGGAGGACAGGGACGGTTGCATAAGCCACTCTCTGTCCTCCAGCCCGCTCCTGCATCGGCATTCATGCTGCACAGCCCCTATTATTGGGCTTGCAAATGACACTAATTTCCCTTCCCAAGCCCTCCCTATAATTTAGCAGCAATGTCCTGTACTCAGATATTATTAGCTGTGCCTTACGTGAACAGTTGCCCTCTTTCTGTTGGTGGGGGGAGATAATGAGTTTGATAGGGATGGCAGACCCGCACCAAGAGCCTTTGTCTTTATTTTTTAATTGACCTGGCTGGCTGGGTTGGAATGGCATTACACAGGCTCTGCTTCAGCCAGTCTCATTCCTCCTCAGCTGTCACCACCAGCTCAGAGGGGATCCCCAGACCTCTGCACTACAGGAGCAGGATGTCTCACAAAGCAGCCAGTGAAGGCAGTGGACAGAGGGCTTTCTAAGCTCCAGGTAGCTGTGATCTATTTCAAGTCCCTTCCCTCCTTGAGAGGCTCAAAGCCACACAGCTCTTTTGTTATACCCCATTCCTTTAAGATTTCATTGTGCTGGGCTGAATACAAGGTGACCTTGAACCTTAGGCACACCACATATACACCTGAGCATGTTTTGTTAAGGGAAGAGAAAAGAAGGAATTGTGAAAAGATGAGCTGCAGATACACTGACCTGCCCCAAGCCAGGGCCATCCATGCTGTGAGTAGCTCAGCCCACGCTGCGCAGCCTTCCTGGCCTTTCCTGCCCATGCCTCCTCTCCAGCCAGTGCATCCTTTCCAGTCCAGTCCAGGATGCTACACAGGGAATTTCTGGTGGCTCCACAACCATGTAATAATTCATAGCTTGGCCTCCAGTTCCTCCTGCTCCTCCAGCATAGACCAGATATATTTGAACAGACAAATGCAATGTCCCCACCATCCAAGTGACACTTTGTCCTTGCCCCAGCAAGAAATAAGGTGGCCATGACAGGTTTCTACTCCAGCAGTGTGGTCACTAGGATGCTTCTCTAGTTATTGTCAAGGAAAACAACCTCCAACCAGCAGGCAGGAGGAAGCAGGATTGTCTTCAGCAGGTGCCCAGGTGAGGGGTCTGTATCCCAGGCTGCTGCAGTACTCTTCCATCTGCTTCTGAGCACACGTGGAGACCATATAATCATAGAATATCCTGAACTGAAAGGAACCTACAAGGATCACTGAAGTCCAACTGCTGGCCCTGCATTTCATGACATTCCTGTGTTTTGAGGTTCTCCTGCCTTAGTTCACTGGCCATGGGCAAACTGCTGCTGTGGACAATGGCAAGATTCAAGCCCTGGGGACCCAGGGAAGGAGTAGCCCAGGAGCAGATCAGGGAAGGAGAGCAGCCAGGAGAGAGAGGGAAGCAGTGAGCTGCTGGATGGGTTTCTTGGTTATGAACTGAACGCTCCTTGGAACTCAGCTTTGTTTCCCCAGACACTGGAAAGAGCACATTTTCCTTCCTCCCGTTCAATCATCAGGAATCTTATGCCAGTGATAGATGAGGAATTGATGCTCCAGCTTTGTTAATTTTCTGTGCATGCTTGTGCTGAGCAGTGCCATGAGTTTGTGAAAAGGATTTGCATCTGGCTAAGTAAATATATTAGAGATTCAGTCTATAGAGGAAGACTTAGAAGATCATTTTCTGTTGACCCCTCTCCTCCTGATTACCAGCCCTCCCTCAAGCAGATGCTCAGCTCTGCAGCAGGGATCACAGATGCTGGCTTCTTCTCAGCTCAGTTTCTGCAAGAATATAATATTCCTGCCGATAATTAAAGATAAAATCCAGGGCTTTGCTACAGGCTATCTCTGCTGGTAACCCAGGATCTTAATCTGAAGCTTAGTGAAGGTTTTGCTAATTTTAAACCAGGAAGGGCTATTGGGCTGGGCTCAGTAATGGAGGGAGGGAGAAAGCCCAGACAGACTGAGTCGGATCAGCTTGTGCTGTCATTTCTTCTGGCTTTGATTCAGTTCTCCTGGGAAGACACCCAGCTGGGCCCTGCTCCTTCTCCATGTCACCTGAGGTTGCTCCACCAGCTGGCTTCAAAGCTTCAATGCTGGCAGAGATCTCTTTGAAATATTCTGTGTTCACCTGAGAATATAAAAAATAAAAGGAAGAGGAGGAAGAAAGCCGGGAGAAGAAAAGCTCTGCGGGCTTTTGGAAATGTGTGATGGATGTGCCCCCTGCCAGCTGCGTGCTGGATCAGCTGTGTAAATCCTGGGGGCTTTGAGAAGATCCACCCACCTGTTCTTGAAAGGATTCAGGTTGGGAAGAGAGAGCAGAGTGGGTGGAGAGGGCAGCACCAAGCACTGGTGTCACCAGAGCCCTTCCAGGACCTGCCAGTTGCTGGTGGCACTCGGCTGGCAGGAAGGGACCGAGATGGTTTGGCTACAGGGAGGCAGGCAAGGAGCAGGACTGCACGGAGGAGATGCTGATGCCAGGAGCTGCTGTGGGGAGTTTCCGTGCACTATCACAGCTGTTGATCTCTAGTGTCTGGCTAAAGGGATGTGGTGGTGATGACAACTCCTCTTTCCCGGCCAAGATCCTTCTTGGGGGGGGGTTGGATTAGCAGTGGTTTCTCTTCCTCTTGGCATATTAAGAAACCTCCCAAACAAAGGAGTGAGTGAATGGAGGAGGTGAGCTCATGTTGGTGTTCATCATCACTCCTATCAGAGACACTCTGCAATCGTGTGGTCTTCGTAGGAGATAATGAGGTGATCTTTATCAGTGCTGAAATCAGCTGGGTCTATCTCTTGTGCAGGAGAAAAACTGGGCAAACCCTCCTGTCTCTCCTGCTGGCCAGCAAAAGCAATTTACACATTGATTGTGTGGTGTCCTGAGAAGCATCTCTGCTCCTGATACCTCCCTGGTGCTGCCAATGGCTGTCCCCCTCCCTTGGCAGCAGGGTTTTATTTTTCCCTATTAACCTCTATTTTCCCAGCAGCACTGTGATGCTGATGCCTCTTATCTCCTGGGGGAAGAGGTGGAAATGCCTTATCTAAAAGTTTTGGAACTTGGTTTTGGTCAGGTGATCTCTCAGGATGTTTTCTCCCCTTGCTTTCTTCAGTGCACTCATACAAAGATCCTTCCCCGTTCCCCAAATGACCAATAATTAACCATTAAAAGCAATAATCTGAAGACATGACATTTTTCAGCAGCTATAAATAGGTTTTAACATAGCTTCAACTATTTATACCAGTCTGGCCTTTTGTGTCTGGAGTGGGACAAAAAAAACATTAACAACAAAACAAACAAAAACCCAGAAACACACACAAAAAACCTCCAAAACCCAAACAAACCCAAATCCAAACCAAAACCAAAAAAAGAAGAAAAAATAAAAACAAAACAAAGCAAACAAAAAACCAACAAGATTACAAATACCACTTTGTCTCTTTCCT